AAAAAAGAATATATGCCTGTTGTGTGAAGGATAATTACCACATATTTTGAAATCTGTTTGTAATCCTGTTTTACCTCTGAAATCAAGTTTTAAAGGTCCACATCATCTAAATAAACCCAACTTAATATTAATTGTTAAGTTAAAAGTAATGCTGCATGGCAACATTATAGTAACATACATGCCTGTCATGTCCGGCATTAAGATAAAAAATATATTTTATAAAGTCACATGATGTAACCTGATGTGGTCCAACAGCTTTGGAGTTTTGTGCCGGCCTCTTTGTATTATGCTCATGTGAAAAATTTAACTATACAATTATAGGAAATTAATGTTTAGATCTATATAAGATAACAAATTGGTATATAAGCAATGAGAATTTATACCTTTGGGAGAGAAAAGAAGAAGAGGAGAGGAGATTGGGAAAAACGGAGCAGACGTATTTTCAAGAAGTTAGGATTTGGAGACTTAGAAACATCAACGGATAAATCCTTTAACTGGTCATTATGTGGACTTGGGTTTTCTTTGTGCGACCTTATGTAAATCTGGCATGAAGTGTGGGAACTTTAGATTGCATTATCCACTGAGTTAGTCGAAATCGTAATGTCCTATTTCAAGCCCACACTTGAATTAAGCATCCTAAATTTTTATGACATTCAATCCATATATAAAGAAAAGTTCATTACATGACATCTGGGATGACAAGTGTTTGATGTCATCTATAAAATCTATATCAGTGCCACCTGAAAAATATACATTAAATAACAGATTTCAACTATCAGTAAAGTACACATGGTACCATTGATTTGTAATGGTAAGGGGTATATGGCAGCCAAATTGGATTTTCCTCTAATGAAAAAGGCTTAATCATATTCTTTACAAATATTAAAATGTAGGAGATATATAGGAGAATTTATATTTCTTAAAATATTGCTTTTACCATGTTTGAAATAATTTCTAGATTATAGAACGTGCCTCAGTTGCGAAAATGGTAAAATAAAGGCAGCCATCTTGGATAAATAAGCCATTTTGAAAAAAGATATGGTTTCAGCTTTACATTCAAAAATAAGCAATTGTCCTTTACCAATAAATTGCAAAGGAAACATGCAATATACTTCATTGAAGAAGATATTTGATCTTGCAAATAAGGTGCATGCTGTGCGCACCTTTGGGGCATAACGGTCGGCATGCATGGTGGCCATGTTGGATTTTTTTCTAACTATAAAGATTAATACTGTACAGAGAGAGGAAATACAGGTCATACTGTATATAACTTATATTTGATGGTGTGTTGCTTCTATCAAGATTGAAAGTAATTCTAGATTAAATAAAACATGACCTAACTGCAAAAATTGCCAAATTTTTGGCCGCCATCTTGAATAAAGCAGCCATCTTGGGTCAAGACATCATCTCAAATTTACCTTGAAATATTTAAAGCAATTGTTCTATACCTGCATATTGTAAAATTAAAATAAAATATACTTCATTTTATAAGGTATTTCAACTTTCAAAAAGATATACATTGTGCTTCTGACTCATTATGGTGAGGGGTGTGTGGCGGCCATATTGGATTTTTCTCTTAATCAAAAAGCCTACATAGTGCATGCAGACAACAGAAATGTGTGAAATATTATAAAAAAGCTATATGTTATGACAGTTTTTTCTTATATCACTCTTAAAAGATATTCTAGATTGAAGAAAACATGACTTAATTGCAAAAAATAGTGAAATATTGTCCGCCATCTTGGATGATGCGGCCATTTTGAACCCAGTTGTCCAATTATTGCTACAGATCACCAGGAAGTGCATATTTCCACAATATATACACAATTAAAGTAATGTAGACTTCAGCAAAAAAAAATATTAATCACTTTTCATAATTGATGCTTATTCTGTGTATTCACCATGGCTGGCGGCCATCTTGGATTTTTCTCTTATCCATCAAGCCATCATTCTGTAAACAGATACTTGAAATGCAGGAAATATTGTAGACAACCTATATTTAATAACGGTTTGCTTTAATAATAATTGAATATAATACAAAATGAAAGCAAACATTATTTAATTGCAAAAAATGGTGAAAAATTGGCCGCCATCTTGGATAAAGCGGCCATTTTGAATCCAATTGACTAAATCTAGCTATTGATCACCAGAGAGTACATATTTCCACAATATATGGACAACACAAACATCTTAACCTAAAGAAACTGAAAATATAAACCATTTTTCATAATTGATGCTTGTTCTCTGTATTCACCATTGCTGGCGGCCATCTTGGATTTTTGGGCACTTTCGCAATTGAGCCCATTTGTCCAATAAGCAGATTCATAAACCCCAGGTATCAGGCTCTCCAACGATATGTTCGAAAATTTTATATCAGTAAATTTTTTTTACTACCCTTTTTTGAAGGCTTTTGGAGTTTGGCTCCCCTACTATGTATATTTTTTGTCTTTTAATTGCACATCTAATTCAGACAGTTCAGAGAAAAAAGGGGCGAAAACACTGAATTAAAAACAGACTGGAATACAACATGTTGAAATCGATTTGGAATAGTCAACATTTTAAAGCTAAAAATAAAAGTGATAAGATTACGTACAAAGAAGTCAACAGAGGACATGCCAGGTTGTACGTGTTAATAATGGTGTCCTGAGATGTGACCTGAAGGTGCAACTGTCTGTGTGTTGAAATTGCTGCCTATCTCACCTAACACAATGTGACCTGTATCCACACACACACACACACACACACACACACACACACACACACACACACACACACACGCACACACATAGCCAGCATACTGCCACCGTGGTTATCCCTGACTTTTCAAGTGTTTCTCCCTGACTTCTCAAGTGTTTATCCCTGAACTTTTAAACCAGGGACCAGTTTAACAAAAGTTTCAGAGATGAATTAAGCCCAAAAAATTAGTCTTCCTTAGATATAGTTCTAAGGCAAAAATCTTAAATCTAATACTGGTCACTCGGGTAGATCTTCTAGATGATATGTGGGGACTGGCGTCTTGCCCTTTATGACAGGACATCTTTAGGGAACTGTCACTATGGGTGACACTTTCAACATCACAACTGAATGAATCATAATTTATGTGGAAAATCAAGTTCATAATATAACTTTTTTATCAACTGCTGAAAATATAAAAGTAATTTCACCAGTTATATCATGCAGTGCAACCTTATATACTTATTAAATTATCGAACTAAAAAGTAAAGCCTGCCACATAATCCAACTAATTATGTAGAAAGAAGTGCAGAGGTCAACACCCTTTCCTGGTATTAGGTGTTATTGAAGTTAGCAACCTTGAGGAAGACTGTTAATCTTACTCAGAAATTACACAGACTGTACAAATACTCCCACATCACCCTGAAAATACACAGTGCTCCTAAAGTTTCTAAACTTAAAGGTAAAATGTAAACTGGAATAACTTTTTATTTTATTTTAACTTTTTATCATCTTAATTGTATTAAAGATGTTAGTTTCAAGTAACATCTTCAGTATAATTAAGATGATATCCTCCTTTCACAAAGTCCTGTTTTTAAACAAAAAAAGATTAAAATCTTTGAGATTATGAAAGATAAAAATATATCTGGTGTGCCGAGATTTTAGAGTCACCCTGTACTGTGCATACTTGCCTGTTAATCCTTGCTGTGATTAGAAAAGCTGATGATTAGAAAAAGTTATCCCTGTCAGAACAACAGGTGTTGAAAAGTGAATTCCTCTTTTATGAAGCTTTGTAAAATCACAGNCTCTTCAGAATGCATTAGAAAGCATCATATTTTCCATCTAGTACATTGATATAGAAAAAGGGAAAAAGATCAACAAGGATTTTGGCTTCTTCATTGTTTGATAGTACTCTCTCACCGCCATTGTATATGTAATGCACACAATTCAATATACAAAATGTTTAGACTAAGATAAGCATGGAATATTGTGTACTTATTCTTTTTTTTTTTTATTTCGTCACATGTTTCTTTAATGGTAACTTCATATCTCCTGTCTTTACTCTTAAATTAATTGATGTGTGTAGTCCTCAGAATGCATGAAAAAAGTTCTCATTTGTTCTGGCATAGATGCCACTTACTGCTTCTCTTGTTAGTGTGATACAATATCTATATTTAAATGTGAATAATGATACAACTTTTTGTTGAAACAACAATGGTTTTCAATTAACAGTTAAGTTTTCATTTAAATTTAGATTAGTTTTAAGTGAACAGTTTAGTTTTTAATTGAAAAGATAGCAAAGTGATACATTGCACATCAGAGTTCTGCTATGATGTATTTGAACGCTTATATTCAACATGTTTTCATGGTAATTGCCAATCTAGGTAATATTGAATTATATTGAAGACTAAATTTCAAATCCCTTAATTCTTTGAGATTGTGTCACAGTCTTGAGACACTATTGCAGCTATGACCAGTTTTGCAATTTATTGGCATGATGTGGCACTTCCTTGCTGCAATAGTTATACCAAATGAATATTCAAATTTGATCCACATAAAGCATTCTATACATGCAGAAAGCATAGCATGAATTGAAAAATGTATATTTGACAAAGGTACTTCCTTACAAATTGATATAGAAAGCCTAACCAAGATTTCAGCATCCTTGAGAAAAAGATCAAGGAATTCACTTCATGACAAAATCTGTTTTTATGAAGACTAATGCTAAAAATGTGAACTGATGTTTACCTTTACATCTGCCATGATCGCCCTATTTACCTGATCTGTGTATTGACAGGTGCTCAGAGACGGCAGAGGAAGGTGGTGGACACATCGTCCACCTATGTCCGCGGGGAGGAGAATCTCCAGGGTTGGAGACCACGCGGAGATTCCCTCATTCTGGAACACCAGTGGGAGCTAGAGAAACTGACCAGACTGGAGATGGTGGGTTATTCACCTTTCTTTAGCAAAATGAAAAGTTTGCAGCATATTGCAGCAATATTATAGCGATATTGCTGCAAACTGAAATATTGAAAAAGTGTAATGCATAAAGTATGAATGATTGCAGCAAAGAGTTTGCCAGAAAAAATTTATTGCTGCTAATTTGCAGCCATATTGCAGCAAATTTGTTGCAAATTTGCAAAGAGGAATCGCAGCAATATTGCAGCAAATTAGCTGGAAATTCACTGGGTATTTGCAGCAGGCCTGATATTTGTTTGAGAGAATTGTTACCACATCTACCAGTACCAGTACAGACTTACTGTATTATGATAACTAGTCCAAGTCAATTTTATTTTGTAATTTGAATTTGAGGTTGAAGATACTACCATTTTTTCTTCAGTACCATTAATTATTGTTTAATCATTCATATTTCTTATACATAATTACCTTTGAAATTTCAACATTGTGTATACCATATGATGTGCATGGCATAAACCACTCTCACAATTTTACAATAAACATGATGTTATGAGGAAGCCAATGTGAACACATTAAGAAAATTAGTTGTCACCTTGTATCTGACTTGGTTTAGTTGCAGAGTAACACACTTAACATATATGGGGTAGTGTTGGCAAGATGTGAGTTATAGTTTTAAGTATCACAATGTGAAGTCATATGTCTTCCACAGGTTGAAAAGGCTCGCCACCTCCTGATGCTCCGAGACAAGCTGTCAGAACAGACCAAAGGGAGCGATCTCACCAAGAAAGACAAAGACGTCACCAACATGACACAGAAAGCCAGTGGAGAGAAGGCGAGCACGGAGCAGAACAAGACGGAGAAGGAGATGGTATCCGGAGAGCTGAGGATTGACACCAGTATGGAGGGTGATCTCAGTGAGAAAGAAATGGCTCTGGCATCCAAGTGTGTCCGGTTTATGACCCAGGGACGTCTGCCCTTGAACCCGCTGACCCCTAAGGTAAGACTGGGTTCCCGTAAACTTATCGTACTAGCAGGAGTGATCTAACTCTGAGGGGATTCTTGCTAAATTACGTTCAGTTTAAGTGGATTAAATGTCTGTCACACACACACTGAAGCTGCTAGGGGGATAATAAACATTCGTGCAGGCTTAAACTGAATGCAATTTAGCAAGAATCACCCTAGTGCAAGGGGTTTTGGGAATGGTCCCTAAGTTACACTGCCAGATAAAAGAGATTTCCTTGATTTTCTTAAAGATTTTCAGAATTATTTAAGTTTTTCATTGTAAGGTGATAGCATAGATACAGAAGTCATCATAATGTACCTAATGTATGTTGGGTTTTGTCATTTATCCAAAAACGTGTACTTATAAGGCATAATGCTAACTAAGAAAGTGAATGGAACAGAAAGTTAGAGAATAATTTGTAACATATACACCACAAGTGTCTGATTTTTACCAAAGTGGATTCCAAGGACAAAAGACCCAAAAGTAGTGTATGCTTGCAGTCGTATGTGGCAAGTGTTTGCAGGATACATTCTGTCCAGATCTTCACATCTGCCATTGTTAAATATAAGATTTAATCTTTTTTATTGAATTAGAACAAAAAGTTTGTTTGCTTTTGAGTTCAATTGTAAGCACATTTCATTCATTCAGGTAGCTTTGAAGTATTAGTGAAAAACAAGTCAAAATTAATATTATTATTGTAAATGTTACATCCTCCTGTTCCAGAACACGGAGCCCCCAGTGTGTGACCTGACCCCTACTGATGGCAGTGATGTCCAGTCCAGCTCAGAGTCTGATCGGATGACCAACAGTTTGGCCAGTAGTAATGCCTCAGAACCACTCTTCAGGTAATTGTTAAACATGAACCAGTCCTTCAAGTACACAGGAGTTTTGCTGTCTTGTGTCTTATTTTATCTCCAGGGAGCCAGGGGTTGTATCTCAAAAGCATATGCATGTAAAGGTTTCTGTTGGGGAGGGGGGGGGGGGGGGGGG